AAGCCCTGACAACCAATACTAAGACCTTCAAAAAGAACTACCAGTATATTAACACCAGGTAAGTTGATACTGCCAGTCCATGTTACATTTCAGGAGTTATTAGTGCCAGAGACCATTTAATATTATTGTTTGCATGCAGAAACTACAAACAGGTCATGGAATAACAGGAAAGGTAATTATTTCCATTCCTTCCCCTGGAGCCATTCAAATGACTGATATTAGCCATTTAAAATCATCTGCAAAGCTTTGTAAAGATAAGTTCATTATACATTTAGATCCAGGCACGGGGAAGCACAACTGAAATGAGCAGGGGATAAATCAAAGATATTATCAATGTTTACTACGAGTCTGGAAGACAAAATATTTGAATACAAAATCCCAACACCAAAAGCACCAATTACTCAGTGTAGAGCCAGAACACGATGGTGTGTTGAGAGGAAATAAAACCGAGTCTTAAATTATTAAAGGAACATTTCTAGGGGCAATACATCTATTACTACAATAACATCAGAAATTCAAGCACTCACATACCCAGAAGCTACCTCTCCTCCCTCAATCCCACACCCCATGCAGGAAACATCCCAGACCACAGAGGTGTTTTTAATTCTACCTTTAGACGTCACTGCAGCTGACAACTCTGTCTCCTACACTCACTGAGGTGTTTTCATTAGGTACACTCACTTTTTCCACAGGCACAGCCTCCCCACACACCTCCAGGAGGGAGCTGTGTACAAACACCTCCCCAAAGCCCATTCACAAGCTGCTGTCAGGAGACAGACACCACATTGTGGTGGCATTCCTAACCTGGCACAGGAAAACAGAGCACTGGAACTTCCCAAAATAAGGTTATGGTAGTCCACACAGCCAAAACCCTCTCCACATCACACTGACCCAGAACAGGTGGCACAACCTCAATATTACTGCAGAGAGAACAACACAAGTGGAACTGCACATCTCATCTTTACACCTTGAGACTCCAGAGGGTAACTTGTTATTCTAAGTTCTGATTCCAGGTAATAAAAGCAAGTTTCAGTAGTTAGATAGTTGATGTAGCAGGTCAAAAGAGGTGATTCTTCCCCTCTACTCTGCTCTGGTGATTCCCATCTGGAATACTGCACACAGTTCTGGTGTCCTCAACATCAGAAGGACATGGAACTGCTGGAGCAAGTCCAGAGGAGGCCACAAAGTTGCTAAAAGCACTGGAGCATCTCCCTGTGAGGACAGGCTGAGGGAGTTGGGGCTGTTCAGCCTGGAGAAGAGAAGGTTGTGTGGAGACCTCAGAGCAACTTTTCAATATCTGAAGAGCTACAAGGAGCCAGAGAGGGACTCTGTGTTGGGAACTGCAGGGACAGGATAAGGGGTAATGGGTTCAAACTGAAGGAGGGAAAGTCTAGGCTGGATGTGAGAAAAAGCTTTTCCTGTGAAGGTGGTGAGACACTGGCACAAGTTGCCCAGGTATGTGGTGGCTGCTCTGACCCTGGCAGTGTTCAAGGCCAGGTTGGATGAGCCTTGAGCAACCTGATCTAGTGAGGAGCTGTCCCTGCCCAGGGCAGGGGTTGGGGCTGGATGGTCTGTAAGGGCCATTCCAACCCTTAATTCTATGATACTCATTCCTTGAAACACATCTGCCTCCCTCCAAAAGTCACCAGTGAAACAAAATCTTCTCCACAAAAGGCCAAGTCAGACTGTCACGGTGCTTGGACTAACTTTGCTAACACAAACCTCCTCGGTGCCACCTCAGCTGGATGGTTTCCAGCACTGCTGAAGACAGTTTAACAGAAGATTAGTGCTGCATCCAACTCTCCAGGGACTATTCCAGCTCCAGTTTGTTTAATAAAGTTTAAATGAAACCACACAACCTCAGCTAAAAATGTCACCAGCTTAAAGTAATTGTAACAAACCTTCAGCTCCCCAAGTGCCAAGGGGATTGTTGGTTTCACAGTGTTACTTGGTGCTGGTTACACGGAGCTACAACTCCAGTACTTGTTTTAATTCCCATCCACCCAGGTAAGGACTTGTGGTGCCTCCCAAAGCACTTCTGTGCTGGAAATCACCCTCTCTGCTCTGCTTTCACTCCACTATTTATCACCAATCTATCTAAATGATCATTTTAGACTAAAACCATATCTGAAGCTCAAACTAGTCAAGCCTGGATGCCCAAGACTAGATTTAAGCTTTGTTTTGCCACCCCTATAAAACTGGTTTGAACTCCCAGGGGATCCTTGCCAGCTGTGCCACTGGTATCAATGGGAATCTGCCTCAGAAGGTGCTGAATTTATGTAGAAGCCTCATGTTAGCTACCCACAGCCTGGACTTCAGAGATCATGTCCCATCTGGAACAGGAGCTGAAGTCACCACCCTCCTCCTCCTTAAAACGAAGAGATGTGTGAAACCAACGTAATTACTGAAGCATTTACTGTGTCATACTCCAGTTCTGTAATATTTACATGTGCTCAATCAACCACTCTCAAATTTCCAGTCTGTTCTGTATAAAATCTGTAGCTCAAATAGTCTACGTAAGTCCATAATTTATGTATCACAGTTTCTCTTCCAGCAGCAGAAACTAATCTTTTTTGCTTACCCATTCTGGAACATGAAAGTTCATCTTTAGAGGTACCTTAAGTTGTGTTTAAATTAAGCTGGAGGAACTCAACCCTTACAGAGGAGCTTTGGCAAGTTTTGCAGCCACATTCTCTCTTCATTTTAAAATCTTTATTAATTTTAGAAGCTTTTTTCTTTCCACATCCTGTAGCTCTGAGCCCACCCCCACCTTCTTGCTTTTCATCCTGGATGGTTTTAAAACACACTGTGAGCCACATATGGCTCAGGGTATGGCACAACCTCTGTCCCCTCCTGACAAAGGTCACACTGGAAGGCACTGGACAACTTTAGACAACAAAAAACTGGGAAGCAAACCCCTGTCTCAGCAAAATCTGCTCTGCTGTTACCAGCCTGCTAGTGAAATTTATTAAGAGTCATCACAAAAACAGGACTACATGACTAAACACACCCAATATTGATAGTTTTGCTTGGTCACATCCTGTTTTGGAAAAAAAATAAAAAAGAGAAGAAAATGGTTAGATCAGAGCCAATTCTTCACTAATCAAAGTACCTACACTGACTACTCTGATACCTCCCTAGAGACTGATGAATCTAAGCTGAGGATTGTACAAATTAGCTCAATAACATGTTTGATTCAAAATACTGTAAGGAAGAACTTAAAATCTTCCCTAATTATATACTTTTTTTCACGGTGCTACACTAGGAACACTATTGGCATGAGGAACTGCCAAGCACTGGAGTCTCTTCTTGGCACCAGGAACTAACCTGCACCTAAATCACAGAATCATAGAATCAACCAGGTTGGAAGAGACCTCAAAGATAAGAACCAGAGTCACTTCTCTCCCACCTGTCAGCAAGCTGCTGCTCTCCACTGCCCTTGCAAACCAGTTTAAATTAAAGATTTACAGGTGCACTGAAAAGAATTAACACCAACATTCCTGAGCAATCACTGCTGCTTAAGCTGCAACAGTTCACATGTGAATGTTAAGCCTTGCAAGAAAGAAATACTCGTTTGGAAGGGAGTTTGTCTGATGGGTAAGAGAAGTGGTTAGTCAGGCTGAATGGATTTATGAGAGCTTAGGTAACATGATTACTATCTACCTTCCCTCTGACATGTGCAATGAGGATGAGCACAACAAATGCATTTTAAATCCCTATTAATATTTCTTTGGAGAGTCAGACCAGCCACAGAAACACCTTTTTCCCCCTCCCCTTCAAAGTCCAAGCACAACTGTGTATAATGCTGAGGGGACAGAGAATGGGACACAAAGTACTTTGCAGAGCTGAGAGGTGTCTGTTATAGCAAAGAAGAATAAAAGCATTTGAACTCTTCTACTGCCTGAGACATTCAGGCAAGAGATGCTTAACCTCTGTGTCTTGTCTCAACGCTAAAATGAATATAAATTCTAGTCTACAGATGTGTGATAAATGATAAGACACTAAAGTACTACTAAGCAGCTGCTTTTCAAAGGAGAGAATCCCAGGAGTTTCACCCAGGGAAGGTGGATTTAACCTGCCCTGGCTAATATAACCTGATGAACAATTAACATCTAGCACTAACTGGACACAGAAACATCCCCAGAATCACAAAAGCAACATGCAAATCATCCCTGCCCTTAGCACGAGGAGCAGCAACCACATCAAAACGCTGATCTGAGTCTCAGGAGCCTAAAATATTTGATTACATGACAAGAAATGATGTGTTTTAGTTCACACGTTACCAGCAAAAAAAAAACCCAAAACCCAAAGCAAAGACCTCAATGTATCGACAATGTACAAATGAAAACAGGAAACCAATTATTGCATAAGCAGGAAGAGAAAGACAGAGGATAAGAAGGTCAGTTCAGGTGAAGGGTCAACAAACTTGGAGCTGAGCTGACTGAAGTCTCTTGCTATACATCCAGCAGTGCTGGTACTTTCTGCCAGAGCTGTAAGCATCATCATGCCCAAAATACTGTAAAAACACACCCAAAATCTGAATTTCCAATGTCACTACTGGATGCAAACCAAGTTGCTCTGTCAGTGCCTTAGAAACCAAACTCTGAGCAGCTCTGCAGATCCCAAGCAATAACCTGCAACCAGCAGCATAACACACT